ATAATAATGAAAAATATAAGAGAAAATTCAAACAATGTGCCGCTTTTCAAAAATGCCACATTTTCAAAATCTTTGTAAAAATGCTATTTTTTCAACAAAAAAGATTTATTATATTATTTATGTTTGGGTTAACTATGTTGTATTAGAGTTTAGTTTTGAGGGTTTAAGGAGTTTTAGGGGTCAATACATTTTTAAGGGTTTATAATTTTAAAATTTAGGTTTTAAAATTCTATAATTAGTGACATTTTTACAAATAGACACTCCTAAGTGGCATCCTTACAAATGTACACACCAAAAGTGGCATTTTTACAATTGCCCCATAATATAAAATAAAATATTTTGTGGCAATTAATGAAAACAGTTGAAATATTGGAAAACGAGCGTAACAATGATTTATAGTAATTGGCTAGAATTTTGGCTCTCATGGTAGGGCTTAATATCGTTTATTTTCAAGAAAATCAAGAAAATGATAATGTAAAATTAATGAATAATTTTGAATGTTCTTTTTAAAGAAACATTAATGAAAAGTATACATAAATAAATCATTCACAGTAAATAAAATTAATAAATAAGAATATTTAAAAAGAGGATAAAACCAAACAAAATATCATAAATAGTGTAATTAGTTATCTTCAAAATAAATAAATAAGTATACAAAATAACGATTACTTATAAAATAGAATATTGATTACTAAAATTAAATATAAAAAATAAATTTTTATTAATAAATTCAAAATTATTAATATGGTATGAAATGACATCATATTCGTAAGATTTTTACAGTGTTCTAAAACGCGGGCTAGGCGGGTGCCTAGGCGGCGTCCAGGCGCTACGCGGATGTCGGGCGCCCCGATTTTAAGTTATTCGGTGATTTATGCGATTCTTAAAAATACAGATGTTTATGCGGTCTAGACGGGCGTTTATGCGGTCTAGCGGACAATTATGCGGTCTAGGCGGATATTAGGCGGCCATATAAATTTTTTTTTAAGAATCACAATTTTTTTWWTWWWWTKKWAAAWWAARTTRTTTATCATAATAAATATTTMTTTTTAGCCTCTAARGATTAARTCTATTAGTTAAATTYATTTTRAAAATAAATGTAGAYATTATATCTTTTATATTTGTATATATTTTGTAAGATTTATAATTTACATTTTAAGGTTATATACTTATATGTATATTTAAAACAAACTACATGTTCTTCTACATAATAATTTTCTAAATTTAATATTTGAGACTTCTCATTTTTGAATATAAAATATATTCATGTTTTATTCATTGTATATACAATATATTGTATATATATATATATCATTTTTATACGTATATATATATCTAAAAAATAATTATCCGCCTAGGCTCTGCCTATACTCCCGCGTATACGGCTAGGTGCTAGGCCTCCTTTCGCGGTCTAGTAAGCGTCTAACGCGTTTTAGAACACTGGATTTTTAACATAAGAATCATATGTTGTGATAACCTAAAATGTTCACAATGACATATTAATCATTTTACCAGAAACGTGCATTACGTATGTGTATATTTAGTTGCATGATATTTAGGGTTTAGAATTCATAAAAAAATACTTATTTAAAAATAATTGTCACAATTTTGAAGGAACATTTGCAAAAATACCGTTTTTGGTGTCCATTTGCAAAAAATGCCATTAATTATGATTTTTAGAGCCATCTTA